CCCGTCGAGCCTCCAAGGCACAACTACAGAGCTTCCTACCCACTACACAACTACAACTGACACACGCTTTGAGCCGCAGTGCAGGACAACCAAAGTTTCATGTCTTAGACAGTAACTTTCACACACGCGGCTTTCCTGTGGAGGCACCAAGGTTTGATAACATGTCTGGACTATAACAGATTTTCGCAATAGTTTGCTTTGTCGAGTTGCAGACAGCACTGTTTCCTGCATTGTCTGAAAAACTCTCAGAAAGAATGGTACCTGCGGTGTGAGGCACGGACTATAAATCGTCTCGCTGCAAACTCCCACCAGCAGTTTATGTCACAGAAATCTTTAAGCCGTGGCCACCGTTGTTGCCGGCCGATGAGCGAGGTCCAATGGCTGCAAGATGCGCTGCAAGTTCTTAAGCTTTCTTGGGTTTCCCTCTGATGTTTGCGTTGGTCATCTTAGCATCAGGTTTGGGGATTGCTTGGCTCCGACTCTGACTCTGAGGGATGTCCACACAGCATGGCTTGCACAGCACTGCAGGGGCATCAGCCAAAGCCGCCAGAAATGACAGTTGAACGCCCCAAGTGTGGATTTCGAGGCCCTGGAGAGTGAAGAACATGGTGTCAACTGTAGTCCCAACGTTTTTTTTCCCAACTCTGCAACCCGCAGGCCCTGAACTTGCGACCTAAACCCTTAAACCCCTTGAGCTCCCAACACATCCTAAACCCCCTAACCCCGCCGAAACCCTAGACTCCAACCCTAAACCCTGAACCCTAAACCCTAAACCCTAAACACCCTCAACTTCAGGCGGACGGCGGGAGTCCCTCTTCGGAGGAGACCTCCCGCACTGCGCTGGTCGAGGAACACTCGACTGCGCTGGTCGAGGAACACTCGACGGCCCCGCAGCCCACAAAGGCGAAGCAGAACGGCAAGCAGAAGGCCAGAAGTTTTCTTATGAAGATTTTGAGGTTTAGGGTTTAGTGTTCAGTATTTAGGGTTTAGGGGTTTGGGGTTTAGTGTTTTGGGGTTTAGGGGTTTAGGGTTCAGTGTTTGGGCGGTTTCTTTTGAGGGGGTTATACTTCTAGGGCCATCATTAGGTTCTACTGTTAGGGTTTTCTGGGACTTAGTTACAGTTGCCATCATAGAAATGGATCGTAAGCATCGTCTTTGTTACGATGACCTAAGCCAACTTCTTGAACGACGCTAGCAAGATCCTTGTCAAGGCTTTTAGGTCGTTTATCCAAGACTTGGGCCCTTGCTCTAAGCTCAGAAGGACTACTGCAGTATACTTTAGTGACACTCTCCAAGGGCGCCCTCACAGACAAAGCAGGCGACTCGCGTTGTATGACTACGGGCCAGGGGTGCAGTGTGGGGTCTAGGTGCTCCAGGGTGCAGGATGTAGGGTTCAAAGCGTGTACCATTCTGGGTTTGCACGGATTGTTCAACGATTGTAATCAGAAGGATCATGTATAATGCCATCCCTGGTGCGCGATTGTCCCAGCTGGTGTGGTCGATTTGTCTCGACTCAGGGATCTCCAAGGGTGGGCAATTAAGGTGTAGAGGTCGGAATCATGACCAATGTGATTCCTTAAGGGTTCTGTACTAGCATCATACTATAGTCAAGGAAGAACTTAGGCAGGGATACGCGTACAGCCGGGATAGAAGTGCTACTTTGGAATTTTTCCTGATTCACCAAAACTTTTGATTTAGGAGTTCAACACCTCTACCTTTAACAGCATGACCACGACATCTACTTTGCTCTTCGGTCGTGTCCTAAGTTTCTT